TGGTTGTACTGAAAAATAAACAACCAGTAAATGATTTCACCTCTTAAAAAAAGCATTTACACTTAAAAAATGGGATGAGGTGGGATTCTCTCCTTCTTAAAAATGTTTCTAGAGCTACTAAAAAACTTGCATTTACAAAATAGTTGATAAAAATATTCCTCTGGATTGTACAAGAAGGGAGACAGGGACCATTGATAAGACATGGTATATGATATTACTCAGACTTGACTTCTTTCTCGCCTGCTTCATCAGAGGGTGGACTCTCCTCATTTTTAGTTTCTCCATTTTCTACAGGTAAATCTTTAGTGTCTCGGTTGGCCACTTCAGCCTGTTTCCCCTTTGCTCCCCTTTTCCCTTTTGTTTGAACTCTTTTGTCTGAAGATTTATCCTTCCCTGCCGCCTTTTTTGGCTTCGTCTCCACTTTTGCAGGAGGTTTAGCCGACAACCTCGCCGATCTCCTCTTGGGCTCTTCCTTGGCCGCCCCCTCGGCTGAGCTGACCTTCCTCTTGGGCATCTTGGCTGCGGACAGGGTGCTTTCTGGGTGCCTGATGAGGCCACTACGCATCTAGAACCTTTGCGGAGTTCAGCGGATAAACCCTACCGCTCCTCCCGCCTACGGAGCTGCTGGAACTCACGGCGGGGGTGGGCGAACTGGATGGAACCAGATTAGATAGCTGACTTTTATATAAGTATATTTCAGCTTATAATACATGCAAGTCTGTTTAGGGAGCTGTAAGGAAATTCCAAATGTCGGTTTTTGCTTTTATAAGTGGTTACAAGTAACACAATGAACTACAAATTTCAAGCCACTTTGAAATGTGTGGAAGTGTGTGCTATCTGCAAATCCTGACAACATGAAAGCCATCCCTTTGTTTATTGGTGTGAGATAAAACACAGAAAATGGCATGTCCAGGGAGTTATGTCCCCCCAACAGAAATTATAGCAGTGGGAAAATATTGGGGCTGTTATTACAAAGTCTGTGATGTAATCGGTGCAGCTGGGAAAACTTTGTTGACTGGGAAAAGACTTGTTATTTTCAGTCAGGCCACTGGAATGGTCTTTCAAGGGCATCCGTTGATAGTATCTTGTAATTCACTCATCCGTTCATATCTGCCTTTAACTCTGTAGGTAAGTACCATGCCTGCCAATTTAAGACTGACTCTGTCCGTGGTAGGCTGGATAAACCAACTGTGAAAGGCTTTCACATTCCTTTTGTTTTCTCTCACTTTCACTCATGACCTGACTGTTCTTAGGTACTGCTGGTGGCTCTCCAGGAAATCACACACAAACTCAATACTGTGACATACGGCCTGGTCACCTCTGTGCCATTGCCACAGCAACAATGCAGCTTGTGTTTGCAGAGAACTTTGCTGTTATTTTAATCACTGGAGGGTATTAGCACTCATCAGAGAAGGTCAGGGAGAGGGAAGAGTACCCCTCAGTGGGGTGTGATCATGCCACAGTCCCTTCATGTCTCCATCCTGATTTTGGCCACGTGTACACATGTGCCTGGCATGTTTTCAAGCCACTAGGGTGAGACTCAAATTTGGTCCTTCTTGTGGGATCTGAGTCCATGCGTAGTGCGTAACCACTGCCCTACAGGGCTGGCCTCCCAAAGTGGAGTTTCTGGTATCCAGGGTCACCACCCAGCAGGGGAGGTGGGAACTGCACCCCCACATCCCCCATGTTTGGTTAAAACCAGGGAGCCAGAGAACCCATGAAATCTGCAGTGTGTAAATGTAGGTGATCCAAGTAGCCAATGAACTCTGCTTACAGGGTAGAAAATACCCAGCCAAGAAGGCATGGGAGCCACCGTGGGGAGGTACCTTGCAGGCCCAAGGACTTGAGAGTGCCCGGCAGGCCTCTGTGACTCTCAGGTTTGCCCTGTTTTGAAAGAAAGCAAAAGTAGTGAGCCTCCAGGCAGCATCGCCCTGCAGGGCCTGCTTCTCTGACTTGTACCAAGGCTTAAGCAAACGCTGCCCTTTTCCTAAGGGTAGACTGTGAATAGCGTTACTTTATTTTAGTGATTAGGAGAAATTTTGTATGGCTTGTTTGCTTCTTACACACTCACACATGTATCCATTCCACTGCTAGAATAATGGACAGGATCTGAGTAGGCAGCCGGAATTAGAGGTGCTTTTCCTAAGTCAGGTGAGATCGAGACTTGTGACTGTTTCTGTCCTGGCGTGGGATGGTTGTGCAGGTAGGAGCTGGGAGGACTCTTTGTTGGCAATGGTCACATCTGCTCCGTTTGGGTCTGCCGTGGGCGTTAGCGATGTGCGTAGATCTGTACGGCAGGAACTTGAGTTGTTAGGTTTTTCTTTGCAAAGATTTCAGTTCCTTGGCAGAGACAGACGTAGAAAGAAACAAGACGTACATGAGGTGTTGCGGACTGTGGTGGAGGTTATGCGGTGCACAGGGGCACAGCGAGGAGCCTTGGGGCACCAGGGATTGAGCCATGCCAGGCGGGGCATCGGGGAGACCCAAGGCTCAGGGAGCCTTGGAGCTCACTGTGAAGGTCCAGGACAGGTCCGATCCCTGCTGCTGTGTCACGCCTCAGAGGACCTGGTGATGAAACACTCCAGGGCCATGTCCTTCTTGGCACCAGATGCACGTGGGAACATGTGTGCCTCCAGCCTGGGTGGATGCAGCTGAGGTCTGGAAGGCATCTTCCAGGCCTGCCGTGGTCAGAGGGGAACTCGAGAGAAGGAAGGGGGTGCCGTGTAGACAGAGTGGGAGTTCAGGGCCCTGCCTTGTGTCATCTGAGGTTAGAAGCCCCTTACTCAGAGCTGAGGCATTGGGCTGCAGTGAGGAGGGAAGGTGGACAGACACGCTTTGTCCCAGGGCTCCCACTGGGCCTGTGCCATGCTACCACCTTACAGATGTGTTGAGTCCTAGGACACCTGTGTGCGTACGTTGGCTTCTGCCATCTGTTAGATGGAGGTGGCCTTGCAGCCTGGCCTCAGGGAAGGTGTGCAGGCCTCCTAGGTGTGGGCGCTCACACTTCTGTGTCCCCATGCCCAGTCTGTCTTCACGTGGGAAGTCCCCAGAGATGCCGACTGGAGGCCCAGGCTGTGCCTATGGCCGCTGGGGTATTGACCGGGACCCCTCATGTGAGCAGTGGGACCCCAGGAACAGCAAGCCAGGTTCTCACTGAGGTCCCTCCTTCCTGCTCCCCCTCCCAGTCGGGCAGGCCCTGAGGGTGCGTTTGGGAAGCCTGAATCACTGTCTTTGCAGCTACGTGCAGTTTCTCAGCGGGCTCTTGTCAGGATCCGTGAAGATGAATGCCTCACCCCTGTTTCTGCACTTTGTCATCCTCCACGGCGTCCCCAACTTTGACACAGGGGGAGGTGAGTGTCTACACCGCATGCTGCCCATGATTTGCTGACCCAGACTCGGGCAGGTCCTGTCCCCTTGACCTAATCCTGTGCCTCTTTCCTTTGAGAAGCCAGAGGCGGTGTCCAGGATGTCCCCTCACCAGCCCTGGTCTTGTCACAGCCTGCAGTGTGCACAGAGTGCCACCTCTGGTGACCCAGCCCAACGCCTTACCAGGGTGGGAACAGCACGCAAGTGTCATGCTCAGCCAGCACCCTGTGGGTCAGCTGAGAAGCTAGCCGTGGAGCTCACAGCCATGAGAGGAGGCAGCAGAGTGTCAGGAATAGCCTGGAACTCTCTCTTATCTGTTTCAGGGTCCCCCTTCTCCTTCCACTTATAAGGACCCCAGAACAAAGTAACAGTACTTAGTAGTGGCCCCATGTCCCTGTCCCATGTGGGTGCTCCCACACATGATGGGGCCAGGCCTGTCCCCTCCCTGTCCCACACAGCTGCATGCTCATCACTTTTGTCTCTGAAGTACATCTGTGCCCTGTTTCCTGGTCGCTATGGCCTTGCTAACTCCGAGTTGATTTCGGCTTCTTAGTTTGACTTTTCAGTGCCCACGGTGGCCTTCTGGGAAAAGGTCATACCACACAGCTCTGCAGGTGCCTAGGACTGAGTCTGGCCCCTGCAAGGTCCACCTTTCCCTGTGGCAACCCTGTGGTTTTCTCAAGTTCAGGTCCAGCCCTACGTGTTGCTTTTTGTACCCTCAGAGGCCGCTGGTGGGCTCCGCTGCCCAGGCCCTTTCCCCCTTGTCCTGGTCTGACTGTGCCTTGGCAAACGCTGTGCTTCTCTTTCAGCGTGCCGGCCTTTCCTGAAGCTCTACCAGGCGATGCAGCCCGTGTACACGTCAGGGATCTAGTAAGTGCCTGAACTTCTCTGGGACGACTGTGCAGCCCAGGGAGTGGTGCTGAGCCTCAGCCCTTTCCAGGACGTGGGTAGGAAGGAGGAGGACAGAGAATGCCAGGCCACCAAGGAAGGATCCAGAGGGAAAGCCCAGGCTTGGCTCACATGAAGTCTCCGCCTCAGCCCTTGTCCTGCCCCAAGAGGTGCCCTGTTGCCATCGCTTCAGTTGGCTCCATTAAGGCTGTGGACATGGGAGGCTTCAGGGGAAAGAGGGCTCCATTTGCTGTTGGGAAGTGAATACTTCGGAGAGTCCTGTGACAGGTTCCTGGGACTTTTCCTTGCATTTCAGATACAAAGACACATCCTCAGAATTTGTATGAATTTCTGACCATTTTTTGTTTTCACTTTTGCATCTGGATAAGCATTTTATGAAAGTTAATGGGAAGTAAGCAAAGGCAGCAAATGCTCTCACTACTCAGAGGGGCTGTTGTGTTCTGGGGCTCATACTGGACCCCACACCCGTGGAGGGCACTGGGGATAAGGGCATGCCAGGTGGGGCATCAGGAGGGAGACGTGAGGGGGGTACAGGAGGTTACACCAGTTAGTACGGGAGCTGCAGCCAGCCCTCCGCCCCTTTCTCTACATGTGGTCCTTGCGGCATATAGGCCCCACCACCCTTGTCCTGGTCTGACTGTGCCTTGGCAAACGCTGTGCTTCTCTTTCAGCGTGCCGGCCTTTCCTGAAGCTCTACCAGGCGATGCAGCCCGTGTACACGTCAGGGATCTAGTAAGTGCCTGAACTTCTCTGGGACGACTGTGCAGCCCAGGGAGTGGTGCTGAGCCTCAGCCCTTTCCAGGACGTGGGTAGGAAGGAGGAGGACAGAGAATGCCAGGCCACCAAGGAAGGATCCAGAGGGAAAGCCCAGGCTTGGCTCACATGAAGTCTCCGCCTCAGCCTTTGTCCTGCCCCAAGAGGTGCCCTGTTGCCATCGCTTCAGTTGGCTCCATTAAGGCTGTGGACATGGGAGGCTTCAGGGGAAAGAGGGCTCCATTTGCTGTTGGGAAGTGAATACTTCGGAGAGTCCTGTGACAGGTTCCTGGGACTTTTCCTTGCATTTCAGATACAAAGACACATCCTCAGAATTTGTATGAATTTCTGACCATTTTTTGTTTTCACTTTTGCATCTGGATAAGCATTTTATGAAAGTTAATGGGAAGTAAGCAAAGGCAGCAAATGCTCTCACTACTCAGAGGGGCTGTTGTGTTCTGGGGCTCATACTGGACCCCACACCCGTGGAGGGCACTGGGGATAAGGGCATGCCAGGTGGGGCATCAGGAGGGAGACGTGAGGGGGGTACAGGAGGTTACACCAGTTAGTACGGGAGCTGCAGCCAGCCCTCCGCCCCTTTCTCTACATGTGGTCCTTGCGGCATATAGGCCCCACCACGCAGAGACCCCACCATGCGCAGGCCCCTGCTACATGTAGGATCCTGCCATGTGCAGGCCCCCATCACGTGCAGCGCCCACCATGCTCAGGCCCCCGTGCACAGGCCCCTGCCACACCCAGGGCCAATGCAAAGACCCCTACCACACACGGGGCCCATGCACAGACCCCTGCCACACACAGGGCCCACCACACACAGACCCCTGCCACACATGGAGCCCACGCACAGACCCCTGCCACACACAGGGCCCACGACGCATAGGCCCCTGCCATATGGAGGCCCCAGCACAGACCCCTGCCACACACGGGGCCCACCACACACAGACCCCTGCCACACATGGAGCCCACGCACAGACCCCTGCCACACACAGGGCCCACGACGCATAGGCCCCTGCCATATGGAGGCCCCACTGTGCATATGCCCCCACTATGTGCAGGCTCCCAACACGTGCAGACCCGTCCCCGACCACATGTAGGGTCCACCATGCACAGGGCCCACCACACACAGACTCCTGCCATGTGCAGGTCCCACCACGTGTGGCCCCACCATGCGCAGGCCCTACCATGCGTGATCCCCGCCATGCGCAGGCTCACCATGCACAGGCCCCTGAGGTTGGATGTTAGTCACTGCAAGTTGGTCACTGACCAACTTGTTGCTGTGAGGGCCCTCCTGACTGGGCATCTTTCTTGAACATTTTTAACTCATTTCTGTAGGGTAGAGTCTGAGGAATTGGACTCCGGGCTAATCAAGATATTTTGTGTAGTTTCTAATTTTTCGATTATATGGGTACTTTTTCTGACCCTGTATTATTTTCTTTAAATTACAAAATTGCGTAATGATCTCCTTTCTTGTTTATCCCAAAGCAACGTCGGCCCAGAAAACCCTAGCAGGGTCTGCATCGTCATTGAGCCAGCTCAACTTCTGAAGGGTGACATCATGGTGAGTGTCCCTCAGTGGTGGTGGCGTGCATGCTGGCCAGTGAGAGTGACTCAGGAGGAAAATTTGTTTCTGTGTTCACAAGCAAACAAAGCAAAGCAAAGAAACAAGCCCTCCCCCAGAATGAAACTGTAGGAACAATGAAAAGAATGCAAAGCAGCCTTTATCTGTAGGCAGTTGGTTTATTTTCTAAGTAGTAGAGCTTTAATGAAAGGGACAGGACAGACCTTCCTCCTGATTCTTTCATTAAAGAGTCCTCTGATATGTGTCAACTGTAATTAAAGTCCTAACTCAGCCCCAGCATTTCTGGGGGTCTGTTTCCTGACCATAATTTGCATACTTTTTTTTTTTTTTTAAGGTTTGTGCCATAAGGCACAAGCAATGGAGAGAGAGAGAGGAGGAAAGTGAGAAATCACCCCCCTGCAGGGATGGCCACACCACAATCCCTTCTCCTCCATTCTCCTCTTGGAATTTTGGACAAGCGTGCACAAGTGTTGGTGTGACTTGCCAGCCACTGGGTCTGGAACTCAAACTGGTCAGCCATGTGGGAGTTCAGCACCTTAACCACCATGCCACCTGCTATCCCCTATAATTTGCATTTTTTTACAAAAAGGATTGTTTATTTAGTTTTATTTATAATTATTATTATTGTTATTTTATTTGACCAGAGACAGAGAGAAAGCAAGCTGCCAGGTTTGGGATTTGAACTACTTTCAGCCATGTGGTCGTTCAGCACCTTAATCATCATGCCACCTGCTGGCCCCCATAACTTGCATTCTTAATATGTCATAGGCCACCCAGGATGTAAATGTCAAAATAAACTATTATTCATTAGTGGCCAAAATATCAAATATAACTGATGTTATTAAAGCTTGGTTAATAATCAAAATAGTGGTTTTTCCAGATAATTTGGATCCTTGGGTGTTCTGGTCTTTGGAGACTAGCTGTTACATTTTTGCCTTTTATTCACTTTGAATACAGAAACATTCGTGCATTTAAAATAATATTAGAAAAGATTGTTGGTGAAATAGGAAAACCATTAAGGCATGTGAAGGCTTTTAATACACCATGTTCAGTCTTTACGAGGCCTCAGGGACACACTTGATGAGATGGTGAGATAATTTAAGAGTCAGTATGGAGTGTTACTACAAAGTTTTTGAAGATTCTTAATAATTTCCCCTGAAAGTTTTGCTTTTACAGCTGTCTTGGGCCAGCCCTGTAGCCTAGCGATTAAGGGAGCTGGACCTCACGTGGCTGACCAAGATTTAGTCCTGACCCCGTAGACTTGAAAAACATACCAGGCATTTGCTTCCCTCAAATCCCAGCAGAATGAAGAAATGGAGTAGAAAGTATTGCAGCTCCACCGTGTCCCATGGTGGGTGTTGTCTCTCTCTGGCATGCACTCTCTGAAGGAGTGTGGGCTGAGCTCTAGTTGAGTACTGTGTGTGCGACAGCATCAGTTAAAGCCTGCAGCTGTGGCTTTAACTTGTCCCCAGCTCTGGAGCTGGATCCAGTGTTCTACAGAAGATGCCCAGAGAGGCTGGTGTTTCTGCCTGCAGCGCTGGCTCCTGGTCCCGTCTTGCCCCACACTGGTCCACCTGCCATGAGGGACTTAGGAGTCCACATCTCAGGGACAAGTGGGCCCTATCTGTTTTGATAAGCAACTAGATATTCTTTTTAAAAATTTTTTTGCCAGAGCGTGTGTGCACTTGTTGGAGAGGAACAGAAACAGAGAGAGAAAAACTGAGGAAGCACCCCCAGGGGAATGACCATGCCAGAATTCCTTCTCTGTCATTTTCCTTTCAGGATTTTGGGCACACATGCCCACACTCTTCTTTCAGGATTTTGCACACACTCCTGTTTTATTTTTTAAATCTCTGGGTCTAGGACTCAAACTGCACAGTTGGCCAGTGGGATCCAGCTGCCTTAACCACTATGTCATGGCTGGCCCACAGCCGAGCCTCTTTATGATGATCCACAGGAGGTGGCTGAATAACTGAGAGGTAGGGACTGAGTCCCTTCCTCTTCCCTCTTGTCCCAGAAGAATATGGGGCCAGCCTCCCACCCCAGCAGTTTGCAGGCTGGTGGCTGTGGGGGTCCTCAGGAGGCCAGGGGGTGGGGCAGCCCAGCACCCTCGGGAGTACCTGCTACGCTCCTCTCTACCCCAGCTGTCCTCCTTCCCCTTATTCCCACCCTCCCTGTTTCTGTCCATCTCTGTACTCCCTGACTCCCCACCTTTCTGTCCTGTCTCTCTTCCTCATGTCCCTCCTCTCTCCTCCCTCTGCCCTTTTCCCTTCTTCTCCATTATTTATCCTGTGGTCCCTTAGTCACTTTTTAACTGTTCTGCACTTTTTGAGTCTACACTGGGCCGTTAGCACAGGGAGGGTCAGGGGCATTTCTGTCCGTGGGGAGCCTGGGAAAATGTAGGCCCTTTGCAGAAAGGCACATGCGGTTGCTGCATAGCCCAGAGGAGCACGGCATAGACGGTCATGCCCAGTGTCTGGGACATGGAGGTGCTGGGAGCCAAGGGTGTGGCCAGCAGATGGCGCAGCTTCCCGCCTCCCTGGGATGATGCTGATGCGTCTGTCAGGATGGCTGCCTTTGCGAGGAGGTCATTGTCCTGGAGGGTTGAAGCCAGGTTGTACTGAGCTGGGAAGTTTGCATGTTGTCCTGGGAAACATGGACCTCGGCCCAGAGGACTGGCCTCAGGATTGGCAATAACGCTGAATCTCCCTGGGCAGAGCTGGGCAAAACAAAGCCATGCCACATCTCTGTGAGCCTGAGTCATCCCCTGGCCACTGCCCCCACCAGACTGGGCTTGGTCCTGGGTGGCCATGCTTCCTCCCTCCTGAGGACCCCCTGGAAGGCCGCAGCCCTCCCCTGTGCTGCCCCCAGCTCTGACTCCTAGGGGCACTGCAGCCTGAGCATGCAGTTGAGCAGACATCACGTGTGTCACGACCTGGGCGGGTGGACTGTGGCCGTGGGCAGACGGTGTAGGGCTGGGTGGCAGTATGGTAGGCGTGGCAGTCTGCTGAGTGATCACGGAGACAGTCTGGGGTTCCCTGAGGCAGGGGAGGGGAAGCACTGTGTTGGACTTGGGCCCTATACACCACACTCACTTCTGGGGAATGCCCTGGGCATTCCAAGAGCTCACAGAGCTGTGGGGACTCAGCTCGGTGAGCCTCTGACCACGAGGCACAGACTGGATGGCCTGAGGGCAAGGACCCGGAGCAGCCTCACCTCCCAGCCCAGGTTAGAGCAATGTGCAGGGCGTGGAGGGTGGGAGGCGGGCTCAGAGACTCAGCCCCGGGGTGGCATGCCTGTGGCCCTTGGCATGGAGACTTTGTATCCAGGGGAAAGGATGTGCTGTGTTGGGTGCTGACAAGTGAGGGACCCCACCTTTTGTTCTGGGGGTTGTCCAGGCAGTCCTAGTCCACTTGAGGTTCTGCAGTAAAAAGCCCACAGCCTGGTGGCTGGTAGACGGCAGACACGTTTCTTCACAGTTCTGCAGGCTGGAGGGTGGAGTCTCCAAGGCGAGGGTCGACTCAGTGTCTGGCGAGGACCTGCTTTCAGGTCTCAGAGGGCGCCTTTCTTCTCACTGTCTTCACGTGGCGGAAGGCCATGTGGCTTTCTGGGGTCCCTTTTATAGGGGCCCTCATCTCAACAGGTGGTTCCACCTTCCTGCCTCTTCTCCTCCCAAAGGTCCCACCTTTCCATACTGTCACCTTTGGGGGAGCTTTCACCACGGCAGTCTTGGGGGGGTGCAAGCCTTCAGACCACAGCACAGACCCATGTCCCCCAGCCTCAGCCAGCCCCAATCCTTCCTCTCGGTCTCGGAACTTTCCAGGTCTTTTCGGGGCCCCTCTGCTGGTTCCTCTGTGTGGCCTCTGGCAGGCGCCTTGTCTTCCAGGCCACCCCTCTTTTCCTTCCCTCTTTTTCATCCAGGTTACATGATAGGGCAGTTTGGGTTCAGTCATTCCCCATCTTGCTGTTTTTCTTATCCCTGGTGACCATGGCTGGCTGTGTCCCGTAGACCTTGTCACTCTGCCTTGTCATTGAGCCCATTTCCCTTTAATGGGACATTCTCCTCCGTGGGCCCAGCAGGTGCCCTGAGGAGCCTTCTTGGGGGGCTGCTATGCTCCAGGCTTCCTCCTTCACTGGCTCTCTCCTGTTTCTGATGTGCTTCTGACTCAGCCGTAGTGTCCCTAGCCCAGTACGCCCAAAGCTGCTCATCTGCTATCACTGACCCTGTCATTCTGGGTCTCCCCCGACCCCATTGCCAGTCTCTAAACTCAGGCTTCCCCGAAGCCCCCCTGCGGTGTGTGTCCTGCAGCCTTCACCAGCACTACATTCCCTACCAGGATGCCGCTGACCTCTCCCCTACCCCACGATGACCAGAGCTCACATCTGGCCAAAGATCCCTGCGAGAGTCCAACACCCACAAGCCTCGGCCTGGGAGCTCCTCGTGTCCCCACCCATCACCAGCCCCATGACAGTGCACTGCTGGTGGGCACCTTGGTGCTGCCCCTCATCCCTCTCCTCTGTCTGTGATGCCGCCCATCGCAGATGTCAGCTCTGAGCACTCATGGCCCCTGCTCAAGGTCCGTGCTCTGCATCCCCATCTGCCTCCCAGGGGACTGAACTGTGTTTCAGGGCAGCTGAGACCCTGGCCAAGGCCACAGCTCCAGCACGTTGGTGGAACCAGATCCCTCGAGCCCACGTTGCTGGGCAGCTGCCAGACCAGCAGTCTGAGCTGGAACGGTGGGCCTGATGAGTCAAGAGGGCGTCACGTGGCATCCACACCCCGGCATCAGTGAAATGTGCCCAGAGAGTTGGGGTATGCAAGAGCTCTGGAATTTAGGCATTGCGGTTAGCTGGGGGTGGGGGTGGTCCGTTGGAGGTGCATGCTCTGTTTTCTGGGGACACCTCTTCTTTGAATTGCTTGTTTCCGTTAGAAATGCTGACCGATAAAAGATTCCAGATCTTTTCACAGGAGATAACTT